AAATGTGCACCACTGATGTAGGCAAAAGTAACTCCGTTTCCAAAATTTTTATTTGTGCGCAAAAGTGCATGTAGGCAATCGAGCTGTAGGCAATCGATTTGTAGGCAAAAGAGATGTAGGCAAAAAGTGCTGTAGGCAAAAAATTTGTAGGCAAAAGGAATCCTCTCAGATTTCAGTTACGTTGTGGGTTAGCTTCACAACATAGCCGAACATGCGAATTTGGTATTTTTTATATCACTTTAATTTTAAGATTCACTTTCCCGTTTTTACAAAATATAGGCTACTGTTGCAGCAAGTCCTTGACAGGAGGAAGAATACGAGACAGAAACCGAAATTGATTTGATAATTATCACTCTTATCGTCACAACAAAGATTTTTATCGAGATTGTTACAAAATTATATCAAAATTCAAAAAAAGCCCTATTGTAAATAATTATCCTAATATAATATCAATAAAAGGCATAAACTACGAACGCAAGATGTTAGCAGCGATAAACAATATATTTATTAAACTCCAATACACATAGACGTTTCGGTCTGCAATCAGACTATCATCTTCAGTATAAAAAATATCAACGCAAGTGAAAGTTATATAAGTATTGCCTCTGCCTCGCAACCTATTGTTAACACAGGTATTTAATTTATTTTACAATTTATAATTTAATTTTGTGTTCTTCAGTTGACTAACTTCGGTTTTTTATACTTTAAATAGAGAATCGTGAAATTTTGCACAATAATTCACACCGCGGATACTTATCTCGACTAGCTGATGTACTTTTCGCTTATTTGACCACGGTTTTGACTTGCTGCGAATCTGTGCCTACGATCTCTTGGAGATGCAATTGTTAAAATTCTTTTTATCAAGAACATCGTAATTTGCGTTGACTAGTTTTATACTTTATTGAATTTTTGTTTGCGTAATTTAATACTTATATAACTTTCACTTGCGTTGATATTTTTTATACTGAGGATGGTCTGATTGCAGACCGAAACGTCTATGTGTATTGGAGTTTAATAAATATATTTTTTATCGCTGCTAACATCTTGCGTTCGTAATTTATGCCTTTTATTGATATTATATTGTTTAAAATTTAAACTACGTTTGACCTAAATTGTAATTATCCTAATATTAGGTAAAAATATGCGCATTTTATTTTAATATAATTTTATTTTATATTTGGTATTGCTGGAGAACGAAAGGCTGGAGAAGAATATTGCTGAAAATGTTGTGGCAAAAACGAAGTAGTAAAAAGTCTCAAATATTTGTTTAACTCAGAATGAGCTCTTATTTTATATTACACAATCGCAACTGTTTACGTCGACATCCGTCAATCGAATCTCCATTATCCTGGTCGCACAAATTCTCTGACGATTTTTTACTTGTCCTTTGAATACTTTTTCGAAAGTTTTGTAAATTTTTATATAAGCAACCTATATCAAGTTTATCCTAGTAGTATAGAACATTGGCTATACATTGGCTAAGATTGGCTAAATATTGGTTATATTGGGAGTACATTGGCCAAGATTTCCCAATGTACCGATATGGGCTATATAATAAATGTCAATGTATAGCCAATATTGCACGTCACTTGTTACACAATTTTGACTCTATATTGACGATACATTGGCCAATATTTCCCAATGCAATGCCAATATTGGCTATATAATAGATGCCAATGTACAGTCTGTAAAGTAAGAGCGTGTACAGATTAATGTGTAGAAACATTTATTTTTAATGATTTTTAAGTACATAGATTTGTTGTACTCCATGAAAAGAAAAATGCTATACCATTAATAATGAGTCCAGTCACCACCGGCATTGATAATTGCCTGACATCTCCGAAGCATACTTTCCACTAAGTTGACTGCGTATTCGTTCGGTAAAGACCTCCAAATGAGACGAATTTTTCGTGTCAGCTGCTTCAAAGTGCATACTCTTTTTCCTCGAAGCTTGTGCTTGAGATATGCCCACACATTTTTAATGGGATTTGCATCTGGCGATTGCGATGGCCAATCAAGTGTGACGATGCCAGACCGCTCTTTCCACTCGGTGCAAAGCTTGCTCCGGTGTTTTGGGTCGTTGTCTTCCTATAAGATCCAATCCTCGTTTTTTTAAATGAAACATTGTTCAGCAGTCGGCATCAAATACTTTTCATCAATTTTAAGCATTTTCGGAGCATTTAAATTGTATGTAAACAGATGTAATGCTCCAAAACCCTGTTTTGAAAAGCAGCCCCAAAGATGAACTTTTACAGGGTGTTTAACGGTCCGTTGTATTAAT